CTCCAGCTAAAAGCCCCTCGCCCAGGAACTGGGATAAGGAAATTGGGCTAAGATGAAACAAAAGTAGAGAAACCTAAAATAGGTGGCAAGCAGACCTTAATTATTCCATAAAATCCAGGGCAGAACTCCAACTGCGGTCCCTTTAATCTCCCCCTTCTTTCCTCTCCCTCCCCCCATCAAGGTATCAATAACTGCAGCACGTTCAGAGACTGGGCTCCAAGGTTAAGAAGGAAATGCTACACTGTACTTTTATATAATAAAGTTCAGCTATATCTCAAACTCTATTTCCTTTTTAATTACAATTTTCTTACCTGAGCCTCAAGTGATTCTAATGTTACCATTAACCCTAGAGGCCCGAGTTATTTTATGTTCAATGACAAGTATGGAAACTGCAGTTTCTACCTGGGTAATTTCTTCCCTCCATGAACTTTAACCAAGTGCATAGAATCAGTCCAAAATTCCTGGTTACACCTGCCCTGCCGAGACAAGTGCCCTAGGGACTGCTTAGAAATCTGAAGTAAACTGAAGATGAGATTGCATCTGAAATATTTGGGCACTTTAGAATGAGAGAACACACAGAATGTTCAAGTGATATTCGATAACCAGGATTTTTATAAGAGATGCTCTAGTGGCTATTTTAAATTGTGAAATTGTCATTTGGGGCCAACATTTATTTAGAAAGAGTCATCAAAAATATTATGAAAAGACAGAGTTTATTTTACAGAGGTAAAGTATGCATATATATATATTTCTAAAGTGTTTAGTAAGACATTGTCCTCAACTGCATTGTGACAAAAGTGGCAAGTGTGTGGGCACACAAACTTCCATGTCAGTCTTTTGTTCATGTCAGATATTGCTGGTCTATCTCCCAGCTCATTTACTTTGTCTTCTACTGCTAGCTTTGCCAGTTAATGGATTTTTCTTGTATTCTTGGGTATATTCCATTTTCCACTCTCTTATACTTAGAAATGACTATGGGACAGCTCTAAATAGCAGAATGTGAGTAAAGCTTTGCTTTGTTTTCAGATATGTCACCCAAACTCCACTTACATGTTCTTATTTCTGCTGATAAAATTGAAATGACTCCCAATGTGACAGAATTTATTGCAGCCCTTAGGACTGGAGGCAATGCCGCTATGAGGGTGGCGGCGTTGATGGCCGGTGATGCTGAGTCTTCTATCTAGACTGGAAAAGCAGAGGCTCCGAAGACAGTGAAGAGAGCCGTCGGAAGTGTTGTTCATTATAACTTGAAGAAAGGTACCTTACCTGTAGGGTGAAGCAGCTCTAGAGGAAGTATCTGGCGAACTTTGATAAAGCTCCAGTTAACCCCTGGCAGCATTATGAAGCTAGGATAATTCTTCACGGTCCTTTTCTCACGAACTTCTTATTTTAACTCACCATGTAAGATCTTTTTTATGAAGCTTCCTTGAAACTCCATCTCTAGCACCACATGCCTTATAATATCTACTCTCATAACAGCAGATGAAGATACCTGAAATTTAAAACTATGACATATGTTACAAATTGCATTTGATTACATTATTTGTGTATTTCAAACCTCAGCAAGTGTCAATTATCTCCTTATTGAGCTATACACATCTCTAAATAAGAAATCTTTATCCTGTTTTTAATAAAGTATTTTGAACATAATATAATATATACATATATATGTTTCTTTCTAATGCTTTCAAACATCTTCTGCTTTGCTCCTCTTGGCTGTAATTAGTGATGGATTTGACTCTACCACCTGCTTTGTGAGTCTGGGAGGATCTTCCTCTCCCCTGGAGTACGACTAAGATGCCGTCGAGCTAGAAACCCCCACTAACCTGTACATCACTCGTAAGCCAGATATGCTCAGAAAAGCATATCTTTTATTTTTTCAATGAGTAAATTGAGTCACAAGGGATAAAATGGCTTGGGCAACATCATCTTAAATTAGTCATTGAACCTGAACCAAAACCCAGGTCTTCAAATGCTCTGTCAAATCTGCCTTTCACCATATTCATTGTATACGTTAACATACACAGAATGCAATCAGGTATATGCCATTATCTCTAAACTTTAAGCTTTTTCTTTAGAACAAAATTATTTGTATTTATCTTATGATACATAGATTTTATATGAATTTATCATGATTTTTCAGATATTATCACACTGGTAACAGAGTGAACAGAGTCATAAAGACACAATTGCCCCATCATATTGTATAATATTTAGGGATTTATCTACAAGACCCAGAGTGAATTTTATAAGGGTTGGCAGTTGGGTTTTATGTCAACTTGGCTGGGCCAGTATTCTCAGTACCGTGACAGTTAAAATGTACTAGTCTGCATGACATGATCTAATGGAATCCACTCCATAATGGGACTTTCTATGAACAGCCAATCAGTTGTAAAAAGACTGAGGTAGAAAGCAACACTCTTACTCAGATCATAACCCTGATGCACTGAAAAGACATTTTCTTGGGGACATGGCCGGTGTTTAATACAAGTGGATAAGTTTGATTGCTTTTTGCTTGTTCTAGATACTACATCTGACTTATCAAACTCCAGTTCTTAGAATTTGAGGCAATACCCTGCTGCCTTGTCTCCTTGTCCTGGAATGTAGGAGTGGCTGGCCATCTAACCTAATGACTTTGGATTCATCCATTGATGGAGCTACAACCTATGGTCTTCCTGTTCACCTGGGGTTCATGAGCCCCTGCAGCTACATGGGTCAGGAGAGTTCTCTAGCCAAACATCAAACCCACGGACTTGCTTGAACTTGGACTTGCCTGCTTCTCCAACTATGTGAACTATATATATATATTATTTTAGGTCATATATATGCAAATATCCTTCACATAAAGTTTGTAATTTTAATAAAAACTTTTAAAACTAGAAAGTTGACATCAGCTTATTATATAATTGCTTATGAATTCTAGGTGGCAGTGTGGGTTCAGCACTGGGCTTTTACCTGCAAGATGGGATATTTACACCCACTAGTAGCTCCAAAGAAGAAAAATGAAACTGTCGATTTCCAAAAACACTTGATGGCAGTGGGTTTGCTATGGTTGGATTATCATCCCTTATAGTATTATAATATTTTAAAAAGTTACCCCTTTAAAGGTAATATATGGAGTGATAACAAAAAGTAGAACTTATGGTGAAAACTAACTAATGGTCCTAAGTATTTCTCATAGTGCCTTTATATCCCCCTTTATATCTTTATAACTAACCACTTTTAGTTTTTATGGTAATAACATCTGTCGGCATACTATTTTAAAATATGTACTCACTCATTATACGTGAAGGTCTAGTTCACAGGTATTCTAGTTTCTCTTCTTTATATGATTAATAATTATAATTTCTATTTTAAATGCTCTGTTAGTTAACTTTTAAACACCAGCTACTAGTTTCCATAACTTTCAAAAACATCTCTTGACTCTCTATTTTGTGAATTAAATATCTAAGGTTTTTTATTTTCCTCAACTTTTCCTAATTTTTATTCTTCCTTTTTTCAGTTACCTTATAACTTTAATGCTATCAATTAAAAGCATATATATATATATATATAAAATCAGTACCAGAACCACACCTGTCTTTTTTGAATACCAATTGACTCTAAACAACATTTAGAGTATTTATGGTTCAAAGTGGGTTCACAAAGTGGGTTCTCAGTGGTGCTAGAATTCCTGGGTTGAGTTTATTACAGCTAACTCAGTCCACTCATGGCCGTCAAATCAATTCTGACTCACAGCAAACCTGTAGGACAGGGTAGAACTGGCCCTGTGGGTTTCTGAGATGGTAACTCTTTCCAGTGGGAAGCCTTGTCTTTGCTGACTGCTAGACTATTCCCATGAGAATGTACCTATCATGATTAAGTGGATTCTCTCTTCTTATATGCCTTCAATTACTCAGAGTCATACCAATTTCTGTTTAGTTGCAGTTTGAACACTTGGTGTTTTTGTTCCTCTGAGGATAGCTAAAATAGTTTCTACATTACTCCTTCTTTTCCCCTTAATCGTTGTGTTAGTCTGGGTTGACTAACAACCAGTTAGTCTGGTTAACAAATCCAGAGATGCTCATATGTGTGTAAGAGAGAACTTTATATCCAAGAACAATTGTCCATTAAGAAACACCCCACCTCAGTCCAGAACAAGTCCATAAGTCCGATATTACCCCACATGCTGATACTAGTCCTTAAGTTCCTCTTTAGACTCATGCAGCCATGTAATCATGCTGAATGCAGGAACATCACACGCCAGTGGGTGGAAAGTCTTGTGGATCCAGTGGTGGTGGAAGCATCTCAGCACTGGCATGGTCTCCATGTGGCTCCTCCAACTCCAGGGCTCTGGCTCCATCAATGTGGCTTGTCAATAGTAATGTCTCACAGGGACTAAGTGTATCTGGCCTCCAGTGAGCTATTTATCTGCTTTGTTCCTCCAAATGAGGTCATCACACTGTGACCTTATTGACAGGCTAAACTCCATCCCTTCACTCTTAATTGCCTCAAGTTGACACCGGGTTATGTAACTGCCACAATCATGTTTTTATTTCTTCTAGATTAAATCCATTAATCTGTTTTTTGTTTTGTTCTCTTTGTTTGTTTTTTTGAACTTTTATCTTTCCTGGTGCTCACTATCCAAAGCCTCTTATTTCCTGCTTCCATCAGACCTAATTTTATTTCATAGACTGTTGCATAGTACCTCTCTGAGAATTTCTTTCTTTCTTCCTTTTCTCTGAGTTGTATCAGATGGTTCCTTCATCTATGCCTCTCTCTCTGGTTTTGTTGTTGTTTATATATTCATTTTGATGGCACACATCCTCTAGGTACTTCCTAAGAAAGATTTAGAGATGTTGATTTTTAAAGCTTTTGAATATTGAAATAAGGGCTATATCTTTCCCTCAAATGTGGTTGATTTCCTTATTTAATATAAAATATAGATTACAAAAACTCTTTACTCTTAGGATTTAAGTCTGTCTCTCTCCCGCTCTCATTCTCACTCTTTGTGAGGTTTTTGGTGTCAGTGGTGGAACGATCCACCCTTTGTACTTGCAAAGGGTGAACAGAAGGCTACTCTATTTCTCTAGGACATTTATACAGAGATGGCTTCACCGGGAGAAGAAAATGACTAAGTGTCCACTTCCATTCTCACCGTCCCTTTCCTTCCTTTCTGGCAGAAACCTGCCATCTGGTGTCAGTGAGCTGTTTTGGCTCAGTGACCATATGAAAGAGGAGAACCACTCACTAAAGAGTCCAAAATTGTGTTTTCTTTTTCTTTCTTTCTTTCTTTTGGAGCAAGTTGTCATGTCTCTCATTTTGAACAACTGGCCGTTGGTTAGCAGTTGAATGCTTAACGGCTGCACTTCTGAGGGTCCTTCTCTGGCACAGAGTATTTTAATAGAAATGTGACACCTCTCTGGCATTAATCACTTTCCCACTTCTGCTCCCACTCAATACACAACAAGTGCTGCCACTACCATGTGTCAATAGAAGCTTCTGTGTTGCTATCATGCTTAAACAGAGTTCAGGTGCAGTTTCCAAGGCAAAGCAGACGAGACTGAAATGCCTGGTGATCTACTACCACCGATCAGCGACTGAACACCCTGTGGATGACAATGTTTGAATCCTGCTTGGGTTGGGTACTCATAAGTTTGGGTGAACTTACAATGAACTAACAATAACGATGGTAAGTAAGGAATATGCTAAAACATATTTTGACTACAGCACCTAACTTATTGCACACATTGTTTGGACTTAATGTCACTTCCTTCTTCTAGACTTCAATCCCAGAGAACCCCAGGAGAGACAGGGGGCAAATATGTTTGTCTAGTCCACACCAAGTGGTAATTGATTTGATTCCCATAAGAGAATAAATACAGGGAGAAAATAAATTTAGTATAAATGTTTCATAATCATGAAACAAAAAATAATGGAGAGAAGTTAAATTATTATGTCTTTAATACGAACAACTCCTACCATTGAAAACAAGTAGTTACATAAAACCTTTATAAACTATATTTTAGAAATTTAATTTTTACACAAATCCTGTTGTTTTTATACAAATTAGAAAACATATGTATCAAGCTTTTTTGGCTTGTATACATGAGAATTTTACTACTTACTTCTAAGTAATCACTGCTAGTTTAAAACAAAGGCCATGTATTCCTTTAATATATCTACCTAAATAAGCCAATAGCTGCCTACCTTTTTATTGTATGCATTCTGTGTTTGGGAAATTACATTTTAAATACCTCTTTGCTCTGTCTGAAAGGCCAGTGTCTTCAGTGATACTGACTCTTGTTCCTGCCCATACTCCTAGAACCATATCTAGTAGAGATTTACCACCTAATGCATATTTCTTCACTAATTGAATGTACACATAAAAGTTTTGTGAGATTAAATTGTAATTTTCATAAATTCATATAAACTAATAATACAGGCACTTAATGTAAGTTTCAATTTTAACTTCAGGTTCTTTGTGTACATTTACTTATTTTAGAAAAAAATGAAACCCATTAATGTTACTAACAATACAAGCAATATCCTTGCAGAATTAAAGTTGGAAATTTCTTTAATGTAAAATATTCTATTATCCAGTGAATTCTTAGGTATGGTACATTGTTAGAATCGAGAAAATAACATGCTTTGTAATCTCAAAAATGTATTTCACTTATTTTATAAACTCTAAAGTATGAGGCAAAATGTTAAGATATTACTTTAATTCTTATGGACATTTCCTATACACTATACGAGGCGGGGCCTACCAAAAACAATGCTCATTTTTCTTTGTGATGTGAGTGGGATAGTGCAATTGGAGTTTGTTCCACTAGGTCACACTGTTAATCAAGCTTTCTATTTAGAGGTTCTGAAAAGATTACGTAACAGGGCACCACATAAAAGGGCTGCTTTGTGGCAGACGGTGGACTGATTTTGCCGCCATGACATGGCACCTGCTCACTCAGCCATCTCAGAGCTCCAGTTTTGGGAAAAAATCCCGGCATGCCTGTCTTGCCCCCGGCAACTTACTCACCTGACCTGCTCACTGTGAATTCTTTGTTTCTGAGAATGCAGAGGTACATGAAAGGGCAGCAATGTGATGCAGAAGAGGTGAAGAAAGAAAACCAAGGGAGGTACTGTGAACCTTGAAAAATGTTTCCAAGAATGGAATCACTGAGTTGACAAATGTATTAAGTGTGATGGATAGTACTTTGAAGGTGATAAGATTGTTTGGTTAAAAAAAGTTTAAATACATAGCTTTGAAAAATATTTCTGTTTGGGTGGGTTACCCCCTCGTATACTTGAAGTGCTTTGTGGTCCTAGTGGGAAACACACAGCTACTCACTGTAAATCTGGGGACTTGAATCTGCTCAGAAGCATCCCAGGAGAAAAGCCTAGGGGGCTACCTCTACAAAGTAAGCTGTGGAAGACCCCATGGTGCACAGTTCTTGTCTGACACACTCATGGCTGTGATAAGTCTGAATCAGCAACCACTGGGTTGGATTTTGGTTTATGTGAAAATTACATTGTATTAGTAAATATACACTTATTTTTATTCTAGATTGACTTCCTAATATCTTTAAAAGTGGCGTACAAAATAAACATGACCTGTAATGATAGGAATTAAAGGGCCCTTGAACTCCCCCTACTCCATTCTGCAGCTGAAGAAAGAGAGTCTCCCAAGAGGTGAAGCTATGCAAACAAGTTCATGGTTCTAGTATAATACTGGAACAAGTCTTCCTCCTGATCTTTTACCTTGAATGTGCTTTCCCCCAAATAAAGTCTTGCCTATCAGGAAACTTAAGAAAACACATTCTTTGCAATGCTCCAGACTTAAGAAGTTTGTAGCAAAAGGTACAACGGCATACAAAGATGAAAGGTTATACAATGAGTATGTGGTGAGTGTCCCACGCCCTGAGAGAAAGAAGTCGTGGGCATATGCATCAGTAATGCAACAAAGGCAATTGTTCCTCCAGCTTTCAGGGTCGCAAAGAGGTTTCCAAGGCTGCCGCGATTACAACTGAGCGTGGCACTCTGCTGGGTTGCTGGCAGCACTTTCCACTGGAGGGTAATAGAATACGAGAGTGCTATTGTATTTTTAAAGGCAATTAATATTTTATTATGCACAGACTTTTATTTGCACCATTCGGATTCCTCTTCTCTAATTAAATCTTGTGATTTACACATGCAGAACTGCTGTTCTTTAAACTCTGCAAATTATAAAAATTAACAAATACTTGTTAAAAAGGAAGCAAAAGCAGCCCAGGGTCCTATTTTTGTGACAGAAACAACTGGGGGCTACCGAGCAAATTGATAGTGGCTCTTGTTTGAGTGGGGCGATGTGGCAATTACATATAAAATACCTTAGTTAAGTAGAACTGATAGAGATTCCAGCTGCCTAGGAGAGAAAGGTTAATTCTTTAAATAAATAAAGCCAGTATTTTATGTGCCCATGTAGAATTGGCGCTCCATGACCTTGTGCGCAGAACTGTGTGTGATAGGATTTAGACATCAAGAATGTGGTTTCCAGGGTGCCTTGCCCGCTTCTACATTAGTGGAAGGTTTCCTGGGGACAAGTAAATGTTTTCAGAGACAGCCGAGAGACTCGTAGCCTAGACGCCCACTAACAAATTATGCCTTTCTGCTCTTTCTGTTTTTGAAAGCAGTTCCTACATAAATCTTAAGTGGGTGAGTGTTATCCACCCCACCCCACCCCCAGTCGATATATGGACTAAAGGGAAATGGGTGTTCATCAGGGGACTGATAAAAATGTCTCTTGATCTCTGTAAAGGAACAGGTAGAACAGGATTGAGAATAAGGAAGAAGACAATGTTTACAGAAGCATGAACTCCCACACCAATTATAAGGAGGTTTTCTGAGTAAACAGTTAAGCACTCAACTATGAGCGGAAGAGTTGGTGGTTCAAATCCCCCACACTCCAAGGTTATCCGAAGAAGAGCCTGCCACCTTCTGAAAGGCCAAAAGCTTTGCAAACTCGATGGCGCAATTCTCTAAGCACACACGGGGCAGCCTGACGTCAATCCGAATCCGCTTGTGGCAACGGACCATGACCACTAAGGAAGCAACAGGCTCATTTCGAAGCTTGTCTTGGAGCTGTGCAATCTCCTTCACGGTATTCAAGGTTCCTGGATCTCTCTCTGGTGAGAGAAGCCAGTAGCTGAGGACGCAGAAACCGGGTGGATGTAGACTACTGACGTTAAGAACTCAACAAGGACCTGCTTGCGTTCGGAATCTTTTCTAACCTTGACAAAATGCATATTTAGTACAAAAAAGAGAATGAAAGTCCATGGTTTCAGTGTGTGAAATTTCACTTTCTGGACAAGACTTCAGGCAACCTTTCACTCTATATGTAGAAGGGTACTTTGCAGGTCTGCAATTTCCATTTGGATTTTCATAGACCCTTCCCTGCATTAAATGTGTAACTTGTGTGCTCTTTTCTTTGTGTGCCTTTAGATTAATAAAGGAAAGCACATGAAATGTTTGTAAAAATAACTGAACAACTACCTAAGCTGTTAGATTTATCCTGCAACTTTATTATAAGCTATATAGATATAAAATGGCTACATGATATATTTCTTAGAAGGACCTCAAATATTTTTAAAAGATGAAACAACCACAAATAAATGTTATCTATAAAACTGTATACATTTTCATACAGAAGATCCTCGAGGTAAATACATGTCACATAAAAACAACTCTTGAATTAAAAATAAAAACAAATGAGCCAAGAACAAATAAAGCCTTTCTCCTTTCCTCTTTATCATTCCTGATGTTGCTACTCTTATGGGAACCACTGCAAAGAATCTCCGTTCTTTTAAAGCATCTCCATGCTGCAGAATTGAAATTTTTATTTTGTAAGTTTTCATGAAAAGGGATGAATAAGGAGGGAAAAGAATACCAAAATGAAGTTCTACCTATTTCAAACTGTCCTGCAGAATTAACAATACTGAACAGAAAGTAGCATAACATTCTTCTACTTTCCCCTATCTTTTTCTTTCATCTTTTTCCCATTGAGGGAAGATTTCATGATAAAAACTAAGGCCTAAAGTACATTTCAGTGCAATTGGTATTTGAGGGCCACTCCTAAGAATTTAACAACTATTGGATGTTCTTATGAGAAT